AAAATGTCATAACTGAGCGAATAACTTCCTTCGTATTCATAACATATGTCATGTCATGATTATGAAGGTGTTCATGTTAGTCTTATGCACACGCCTTCAAGTAAAGTGTTACCATTTATTGTAGATGAGAACAGACTCTCTAACTGTAACTAAACAGTTCATCTGATGCAATAATAATTGATCATCGTGAAACAAATATACACTACCCCTTTTTTATGTTTTTGAAAGATGCTCACCAAGGCTGTGTTTATTTGATGAAAAATACAGTAAAACGTGAAATATTTATTTTTAATTTAAAATGTAAAAACAATTTAAAAGAACTATTTCTTATGTTTTGCTTAGCTATAAATAACTATTTACTTACAGTATGTTTTGAAATGGGATTTAATCTTGTGATCAAAGCATCATTACTCCAGTCTTCTGTGTCACATGATCCTTCAGAAAAAAAAAAAATGCTGTTAAACCTTATAAATGTCTTCACTGTGAATTGTGATCAATTTAATGCATCCTAGCTGAATAAAAGTATTAATTTCTTTAAATAAAAAAATAAAATGTTGCATACATTTACTGTACATTCTCTTTAACGTTGTCTTTATTCCAGGTTGGGCAACAGTCGTTCCACAGAATATCCCTGAAAGTTTATCCGTAGCGAGTCAAATCTCTTCCAAATCTGCAGTGAAAGGTAAATGATCAGAGTGTGCCAGACTAAACATGAATTGATCCATTGTGATGCATTGATCTGAAACAGAATTTAATACTTGCTTACAATCGAGTTCTCAAAAAGTTTGTGACTTTTTCTCATTTATGGTCACGAACATGCATGCAAAATTTCAACACGCTGATGTTTTTTGACAAATACATAATTTCTGTTACGTTTGTGATGTTAGTGGGTCAGTTTGACCCATATGACCACATCATTTAATGTACTAAGGCAACTGTACAGACGCAAAATAATAACATTTCTTGGTTGTATTTTGTTATTTTAGTTTTTTACTTACCTGTGAAGCTAGAAATACAGAAAAATATTTTGTCAGCCACATACTGTATGGTAAAAATGAGCCGTCATTTCTTGTTTCAATCTATGTGAAATACAATTAAACCTGTTGTTTTTCTTGAAATTGTGTGACCTTTTTCTCATTTAGGGTCATGAACATGAATGTAAAGTTCCCTTTCGTAGTCACTTCGAGTTACGTCAGAAGTGACGGAGATTGGGGGGTTTCGCATAGAAAGCCAATCCTCTTCGAGTATTTAAACACGAGCCAATGGCATGCAATGCCTTGGGGCTGCGGAAATTTGCATAGCGTACTCCGCCCTACTCCGTGAGTATAAAAGGAGGAAGTGAACGCAACCGCAGTATGTTTTCGCTTCGGAGCCAAGAGAACCTCTTCACTCCTAAAAGCTGATTCAAGACTCTTCGAGAACGAGCGTCCTCTTCAGTGTTGGTGTGACGGCGGTACCAGCGAGATTTTGCATTGCCTGCGATCTGAGCAGTGGTCTGCCAGACTTTGCACTTCTCCCTGGTAGCTTCAGCGCTGAAAGAGTGAATTTCTCCTTTCTCATAAAAGTGAAAGTGAAAGAGCTGCACGCGGCACGTCTTTTTAAAGATGGTTCGCCCGTGCCCTTCTGGATGTGGTAGATTTCTGTCATCATCTGATGGTCACGAACGCTGCTTTGTATGCCTGGGCATTCAGCATGCAGCAGCAGCGTTCGTGGATGACTCATGTTCCTTCTGTGGGAGCATGACCATCTCCACACTGAGGTCGAGGCTCAATGATCTCACTAGAGTGAGAGCCCCGGTCCCCCCTACTCGATCGGCTTCCTTCACGAAGGGGGCCCGTCGACCCGGGGACCCGGCGATCTAACGGTGACGGTGTGGGATAAAGCCCCGACGATTCCTCGGGCCACACCTCCCGCCTCAGTGCGTGAGCCAGCGAGCGCTAGCTCGACTCGGTCGGTTGTCTCTTCGGCGGCACCGGCTGCTTCGAGCAGCGCTCCAGATGATGATGCGATGTCTATCACAGCATCACTAGGCGGGCTTGAGTCCTCGGCAGAGGAAGATGCGGCTGCGTTGCCCCCTTCGGGAGTGCCAGCGTTGCCCGTGTCAGATCCCGAGCTGACGGCCATGCTGTCTCGAGCCGCTTGGAGTATCGGGCTAGAATGGAAACCTCCATCCTGCCCCGATCTCTCGCGGATGGATAATTGGTATCTGGACAAAGCTGCCACCGCAAGGCCACGGCCAACTCCAATACCTTTTTTCCCCGAGCTGCATGCGGAGTTATCGCGCTCTTGGGGGGCTCCTTTGTCCACTCGAGAGCGCGATCTCTCCCCCGCCTTTCCCCCCCTCGACGGTGGGGCCGCCCGTGGGTACACTGGGATGCCCCCGGTGGAGCGCTCTGTTGCGATGCAGCTGTGTCCACAGAGCGCCTCCACCCGTGGTCCTCCTAAGCACCCATCCAAAGCCTGTGGGTTCTCGTCTGCTATGGCGGCGCGATCCTATAGAGCGGCGGGACAGGCGGCCTCCGCTTTGCATGCGTTGAGCACTTTGCAGGTCTTCCAAGCGAAGATGCTCAGAGACATGCACGAGGGCGGGACTGACTCGACGGCATTTAAAGATTTGCGGTCCGCCACTGACCTTGCTCTCCGGGCAACGAAAGTGGCCGCTCGCGCCGTCGGTCAGGTGATGGCCACTTCGGTGGTTCAGGAGCGCCATCTCTGGCTCAACCTGGCAGATATGCGGAGCGCTGAGCGGACCCGTCTGCTCGACGCTCCGCTCTCCCAGGTTGGCCTTTTCGGCGGTGCGGTCGAGGACTTCGCCCAGCAGTTCTCCACCGCCCAGAAGCAGACGGAGGCCATTAAACACATCCTGCCCCGGCGACCAGCTGCTGCCTCCACCCAGTCATCGGCGCAGGTGCCTCCCTCTGCTCGCCGCAGAGGACGCCCCCCTGCGGCTCCCCTCCCTCCCGCCCGGCCCCAGCAGCAGCCTTCACCGGCCCCGGCGTCGAGGAGGCCGCAGGCCGGCGTCACAGCCCCCTCAGGCCGCTCGCCCCGCTAAACGCCAGGCCAAGCGAAGATCCTGACACGGGCCGCTCAGTGACGATCTCGAGTCTTTCCCAGGAGGCGGTAGCAGGCCCCCTCCTTCCCCCGGTGGAGGGCCGGGGGAGAATCTTTTGTTCTCAGCTCCCCGCTGCTCACCCACGGGTGGGCAGCACCCTGAACTGGTTAAAGAAAGACTTGACATCCTCACTGAGCTCACAGACTGGAGTGGGTGCGCTCGATGCCCCCGTGCGGCAGCCCACACACTCCTCTCTGTCTCTGAGGGCGCGGAAGGGTGCGTGTGTCGTCCCCGGGCTACACCAATCCCTTCCCCCTCTGTCGCCAGACCCCCGGCAGAACAGACCCCCGTGGAACGCTCCGCTTTCCCTGGTCCCTTCAGTCGGGGAGCGGGCTTCGACGCATCCGAGCGGGGTAACTCCTGCACGCGTGCCAGTCGACCCGCACCGCTGCCCCTCCGGGGGGACGTCTGTGGTTCGCATGACCCCGTTGGCTCATTTCCTGGAAGCCTGGCTAGCGCTTCCCGAGATATCCCGCTGGGTCATCAGAACGATCAGATTCGGCTACGCGATTCAGTTCGCACGGTCTCCTCCCCGCTTCAGGGGAGTTCGCTCCACGATAGTTGGTGGCAATGCCCCAGTCCTGAGAGCGGAGATTGCGACCCTGCTGGCGAAGGGTGCAATCGAGACGGTCCCTCCCTTAGCTCTGTCCCCTCGCGTCTTCACGAAGATCGTCGAGGCAGCCCTTGTTCCCCTTCGCAAACACGGGGTTCGCATCCTGAATTATCTCGACGACTGGCTGATACTAGCACACTCTCGAGCTCAGCTTTGCGAACACAGAGACTTGGTGCTCCGGCACCTAGCCCGTTTGGGCCTTCGGGTCAACCGGGAAAAGAGCAAACTTTGCCCCGTGCAGAGGATCTCTTTTCTCGGCATGGAGATAGACTCGGTCGCCATGTCCGCGCAGCTCACGAACGAGCGCGCGCACTCACTGCTGGCTTGCCTTCGTCAGTTCGAGGGCAAGAGTGCGGTTCCACTGAAACTTTTTCAGAGGCTCCTGGGGCATATGGCATCCACGGCCGCGGCAGCGCCGCTCGGTTTGCTTCATATGAGACCGCTTCAGCTGTGGCTTCGCGATCGAGTCCCGAGGTGGGCATGGCATCGCGGCTCGCTCCGAGTCCCAGTGACTCCGGCATGCCGGCGAACCTTCTTCCCGTGGTCGAACCTCAGCTTTTTACGGACAGGTGTCCCTATTCAGCGAGTTTCCAGACATCTCGTCGTCTCCACGGATGCATCTACCACGGGTTGGGGTGCCATGCGCAATGGGCATGCAGCCGCCGGTTCCTGGACAGGAGCCCAGCGCCTCATGCACATCAATTGCCTCGAACTGCTGGCAGTACGGCTCGCCCTGCACCGCTTCAGAGCGTTGCTCAAGGGCCAGCATGTGCTTGTCCGCTCAGACAACACTATGGCTGTAGCGTACATCAACCACCAGGGGGGTCTACGCTCGCGCCAGTTGTCGCAGCTCGCCCGCCACCTCTTGATATGGAGTCAGAAGCACCTGAGGTCCCTTCGTGCAGTTTACATTCCTGGAGACCGGAACTGGGCAGCCGACGAGCTGTCTCGGGTCCGTCCCATCTCCGGCGAATGGCGACTCCATCCCCAGTCGGTCCAGCTGATCTGGAAAGAGTTCGGGGAGGCACAGATAGATCTGTTCGCCTCTCGGGACTCAGCCCACTGCGCCCAGTTTTATTCTCTGACCTGGGGCACTCTCGGTTCGGATGCGCTGGCGCACAGCTGGCCACGGGGCCCACGCAAGTATGCGTTTCCCCCAGTGAGCCTCCTTGCACGGGTGTTGTGCAAGATCAAGGAGGACGAGAAGCAGGTCTTGCTGGTAGCCCCCTACTGGCCCACCAAGGCGTGGTTCTCCGATCTCATGCTCCTCGCGACAGCACCTCCTTGGCCTATTCCTCTGAGACAAGACCTACTCTCTCAGAGACGGGGCACTCTGTGGCACCCTCGTCCCGATCTTTGGAGGCTGCACGTGTGGCTCCTGGACGGGACGAGGCAGGTTTGAGTTCGCTGCCACCTGCGGTGGCGGCAACCATCACTTCCGCAAGAGCGTCGTCCACGAGACACCTTTATGCGTTGAAGTGGAACCTCTTCGTCAATTGGTGCTCTTCTCGCGGAGAAGACCCCCGGAGATGTTCGATCAGTGTTGTGCTTTCCTTCCTGCAAGAAGGGTTGGAGCGCAGGCTGTCGCCCTCCACCCTTAAGGTTTACGTCGCAGCCATTGCCGCTTCTCATGAAGCAGTGGAAGGTAAGTCCTTAGGGAAGCACGACCTGGTCATCAGGTTCCTGAGGGGAGCGAGGAGGCTGCATCCGCCTCGTCCTCCCCTCGTACCCTCTTGGGACCTCTCGGTAGTTTTAAGTGCTCTGCAGAGGCATCCCTTTGAGCCTTTGCAATCGGTAGAGTTAAAGTTTCTGTCCATGAAGACAGCACTCCTGGTTGCATTGGCCTCCATCAAGAGGGTGGGGGACCTGCACGCATTCTCCGTTGACGAAGCGTGCCTGGAGTTCGGGCCGGCTTACTCTCACGTGATCCTGAGACCCCGGCCTGGATATGTGCCCAAGGTTCCCACCACTCCCTTCCGGGACCAGGTGGTGAACCTGCAAGCGCTGCCCCGGAGGAGGCAGACCCAGCCTTGGCACTGCTCTGTCCGGTACGTGCTCTCCGCACCTATGTCGACAGAACGCAGTGTTTCAGGACCTCAGACCAGCTCTTTGTCTGTCATGGAGGGAGCCAGAAGGGAAGGGCTCTCTCAAAGCAACGGCTGTCCCACTGGATAGTGGATGCCATTGCTTTGTCTTACCAGCAGCAAGGCCTTCCGTGCCCCCTTGGTGTGACGGCCCATTCCACTCGGAGTGTAGCCTCCTCTTGGGCTTTAGCGCACGGCGCCTCGCTAACAGACATCTGCAGAGCTGCAGGCTGGGCGACACCCAACACCTTCGCCAGATTCTATAATCTGCGAATTGAGCCGGTATCCTCTCACGTACTCGTTTCGGCCAGTTCTGGATCCGCTCAGGTGTCTTCGCTTGCTCGCCACTCCACTCCCCGGACTGGATAAGTGCGATATTTCCTCAGTTCTTCCATTGAAGTCTTGAGTCCTCCAGCACCAACGATGCGGGCACCACTGCGTTGCTCTGGATGCTAGCTAGGTGCCTCCATGCGCACGGTTCCCCATGGTAACCGTCTCATGTGTATTATCCACTGTAAGCCTCTCTGAGCATGTGTCTTCCCTTGGCAAGCCATCTGCCACCCCTGGAGTTTAAATCAGTAGCCACCTGCGGTTGGTACTCCAGTGTTCCATATGCGTTCCTATGTGGCCATATGTGTATTCATAAGTCCTCCCTTCGGTAGGCAGCTGGTAGCATGTCCCCTTCGGGATAAGTTTCCCAGTGTACCTTGGTAATCCTGTGTCAAAGTCGGATCCCGAAAAAAAAAAAAAAAAAGAGGTAAGGCTCGGGGGTTCAGTCTTTCGCAGGGCACTGGAAGACAGCTTGAAGATGGCGTGATGGCACAGACCCCCAATCTCCGTCACTTCTGACGTAACTCGAAGTGACTACGAAAGGGAACGTCTCGGTTACGTATGTAACCCTCGTTCCCTGAGTAGGGAACGGAGACGTTACGTCTCCCTGCCACTTCTGCTGTATCGCTGGGTAGATGCCGAGTTCAGTCTTGGCTCCTCAGCGAAGACATACTGCGGTTGCGTTCACTTCCTCCTTTTATACTCACGGAGTAGGGCGGAGTACGCTATGCAAATTTCCGCAGCCCCAAGGCATTGCATGCCATTGGCTCGTGTTTAAATACTCGAAGAGGATTGGCTTTCTATGCGAAACCCCCCAATCTCCGTCACTTCTGACGTAACGTCTCCGTTCCCTACTCAGGGAACGAGGGTTACATACGTAACCGAGACGTTTTTGACATGTTGTGTTCAGTTCACATTCATGTTTGTGATGTTCGTGGATCAATTTGACCCACATATTTAATTGTATTGAATCCAATTAGGGTCGATTTGACCCACATCATATACGTTATTCCCAGAAATCGAACAGTGCACGGGGGTTAAAAAAGAAATAGATACATAGAATTGAGACCAAATTTCAGATAGTTTCAGTGCAAATATTTACACCTTTAACTTTAGAATTTATGCATCTTTTAATCACACATCTTTTTCAATTACAGATACCTCAAAAGATCTCTCCGCTTGGTTCAATCTGTTTGCCGATTTGGATCCACTGTCAAACCCGGATGCAATTGGCCGAACCAATGAGGAAGACGAGCTACTGAATGCTTAGTCCGCCCTGGTACAGATGCACTTTATCGCTCTTTTCATACAAACGGCAGTTTATGCAAGAGGCCGACAGATCTGGACAGATGTCAAGTGATTGCTTTATGCCATTGCAGTAAACCTTAATTATTTAATGAAGAATTATTTGCTGCCAAAGGAAATGAATAATAATCACTCTGGCCTTGATTCCTTTTCTATTGCTAGTATTGTCAAGGCAGTTTGATTTGCCATAACATTGTGGATTTACTTGTTTTACATAAATGCATATAATAACATTTCTCAACATTATCAGCAACAGTAAGTAGTTTTTGGTTTGTATATTATGATATTGCATGTTTTTTTGTAAATCTTTATTTATTGTAAATGTTAGTGCTGACTACTAAAACTAATGCTGCATTTCAAAAGCCTTAAATATCAAGAGGGGTTTAGGACAGTCCTTGAATTAATTTATTTTGATGAAAGTCATATTGTATATTATCTTATGGAAACTTTATCTGATGAAAGCAGCTGTGTATGTATTTTTTTTTTTAGATGTATGGATAAGTTAGAGAATGCTACTCTGACCACTTACTTTTTACAGTCTTGGTTCTGGAAGTTATTTTTCCTGGAAGTATTTTTTCCCCTTAGAAAATAATAAAAACCTCATTGCTCATGGTAGATTTTTTTCGTCTTCCAGGACCTGACTATTCAGACCTGAATTATGTTTCAAGTTTCTGAAAAATATAAAAGTACATTTTCCCATCTCATGAGGTTTCTATAAATGAAAACAAATGAATTTTTTTTTTTTTTCATATATCTATAATTGCTTTCATTGTGATGTTTTTTTTTTGTCCATTCCAATGGACATCTGGTCAAAACAGGTGTACTTCCCAAAAATGTTCCAACATGAAATAAATTAATAAACATAAAATTTGTTGGTCTATACTTTAAGCTTTTTCTCAAGGTCAAAAAAATTCCAGCAGTATACCATTTAAACTATAATTTTGAGGTTTTTGTTTTACAGATTGCACAATGTTTGTAACAAACTAAATATATTCGAATCAATCAATCTGGTCATATTAGAGTCATTTTCTGTGTGCATCTTTCTTTTTTTAGAACAAAAACTTGAACATTATAACAGTTCAACTTTAATCGTAAGGTTTTTCCTTTATATATTGCACATTTGTTTATTCAGAACAAAATAAACCTAGGAATCAATCAATGCATTCAAGTCGTTTTTTTTTTTGTCCTTTTTTTTTTGTGTGAAAAAATAAGTTTCTCCAATCTTCTTGAAACTCTGGATTATGATAGAGGGCCCTTCCAGAGACCCTCTAGACCCTTTAGACCCTTCCAGAGCTGAGATATCGAAACTCAAAATTTCGACCCGAAAAAAACCCGAAAGGGGTACCACTGTCGTTTTTTTTTTCGGGTCAAAATTTTTAGTTTCTCTGATCCTCTTGAAATTCTGGATTCTGATAGAGGGCCATGAGACTTAGATCTGAGTGCAAAAATGGAGGCTCTAGACCCTTCCAGAGCTGAGATATCGAAACTCAAAATTTCGACCCGAAAAAAAAACGAAAGGGGTACCACTGTCGTTTTTTTTTCGGGTCAAAATTTTGACTTTCTCTGATCTTCTTGAAACTCTGGATTGTGATAGAGGGCCCTGAGAATTAGACCTGAGTGCAAAAATGGAGGCTCTAGACCCTTCCCGAGCTGAGATATCGAAACTCAAAATTTCGACCCGAAAAAAAAAAACGAAAGGGGTACTGTCGTTTTTTTTCCGGGTCAAAATGTTGACTTTCTCTGATCTTCATGAAACTCTGGATTATGATAGAGGGCCCTGAGAATTAGACCTGAGTGCAAAAATGGAGGCTCTAGACCCTTCCAGAGCTGAGATATCGAAACTCAAAATTTCGACCCGAAAAAAAAAACGAAAGGGGTACCACTGTCGTTTTTTTTTCGGGTCAAAATTTTGACTTTCTCTGATCTTCTTGAAACTCTGGATTATGATAGAGGGTCCTGAGAATTAGACCTGAGTGCAAAAATGGAGGCTCTAGACCCTTCCAGAGCTGAGATATCGAAACTCAAAATTTCGACCCGAAAAAAAAACGAAAGGGGTACCACTGTCGTTTTTTTTTTCGGGTCAAAATTTTGACTTTCTCTGATCTTCTTGAAACTCTGGATTATGATAGAGGGCCCAGAGAATTAGACCTGAGTGCAAAAATGGAGGCTCTAGACCCTTCCAGAGCTGAGATATCGAAACTCAAAATTTCGACCCGAAAAAAAAACGAAAGGGGTACCACTGTCGTTTTTTTTTTTCGGGTCAAAATTTTGAGTTTCTCTGATCTTCTTGAAACTCTGGATTATGATAGAGGGCCCAGAGAATTAGACCTGAGTGCAAAAATGGAGGCTCTAGACCCTTCCAGAGCTGAGATATCGAAACTCAAAATTTCGACCCGAAAAAAAAAAACGAAAGGGGTACCACTGTCGTTTTTTTTTTCGGGTCAAAATTTTGAGTTTCTCTGATCCTCTTGAAACTCTGGATTCTGATAGAGGGCCATGAGACTTAGACCTGAATGCAAAAATGGAGGCTCTAGACCCTTCCAGAGCGGAGATATCGAAACTCAAAATTTCTACCCGAAAAAAAACCGAAAGGGGTACCACTGTCGTTTTTTTTCGGGTCAAAATTTTGACTTTCTCTGATCTTCTTGAAACTCTGGATTATGATAGAGGGTCCTGAGAATTAGACCTGAGTGCAAAAATGGAGGCTCTAGACCCTTCCAGAGCTGAGATATTGAAACTCAAAATTTCGACCTGAAAAAAAAAACGAAAGGGGTACCACTGTCGTTTTTTTTTTCGGGTCAAAATTTTGACTTTCTCTGATCTTCTTGAAACTCTGGATTATGATAGAGGGCCCGGAGAATTAGACCTGAGTGCAAAAATGGGGGCCCTAGACCCTTCCAGAGCTGAGATATCGAAACTCAAAATTTCGACCCGAAAAAAAACCGAAAGAGGTACCACTGTCGTTTTTTTTTTTCGGGTCAAAATTTTGAGTTTCTCTGATCCTCTTGAAACTCTGGATTCTGATAGAGGGCCATGAGACTTAGACCTGAATGCAAAAATGGAGGCTCTAGACCCTTCCAGAGCTGAGATATCGAAACTCAAAAAGTCGACCCGAAAAAAAAACGAAAGGGGTACCACTGTCGTTTTTTTTTCGGGTCAAAATTTTGACTTTCTCTGATCTTCTTGAAACTCTGGATTATGATAGAGGGCCCTAAGAATTAGACCTGATTGCAAAAATGGAGGCTCTAGACCCTTCCAGAGCTGAGATATCGAAACTCAAAATTTCGACCCGAAAAAAAAACGAAAGGGGTACCACTGTCGTTTTTTTTTAGGTCAAAATTTTGACTTTCTCTGATCTTCTTGAAACTCTGCATTATAGATAGAGGGTCCTGAGAATTAGACCTGAGTGCAAAAATGGAGGCTCTAGACCCTTCCAGAGCTGAGATATCGAAACTCAAAATTTCGACCCGAAAAAAAAAACGAAAGGGGTACCACTGTCGTTTTTTTTTTCGGGTCAAAATTTTGACTTTCTCTGATCTTCTTGAAACTTTGGATTATGATAGAGGGCCCTGAGAATTAGACCTGAGTGCAAAAATGGAGGCTCTAGACCCTTCCAGAGCTGAGATATCGAAACTCAAAATTTCGACCCGAAAAAAAAAACGAAAGGGGTACCACTGTCGTTTTTTTTTTCGGGTCAAATTTTGACTTTCTCTGATCTTCTTGAAACTCTGGATTATGATAGAGGGCCCTGAGAATTAGACCTGAGTGCAAAAATGGAGGCTCTAGACCCTTCCAGAGCTGAGATATCGAAACTCAAAATTTCGACCCGAAAAAAAAACGAAAGGGGTACCACTGTCGTTTTTTTTTTCGGGTCAAAATTTTGACTTTCTCTGATCTTCTTGAAACTCTGGATTATGATAGAGGGCCCTGAGAATTAGACCTGAGTGCAAAAATGGAGGCTCTAGACCCTTCCAGAGCTGAGATATCGAAACTCAAAATTTCGACCCGAAAAAAAAACGAAAGGGGTACCACTGTCGTTTTTTTTTTCGGGTCAAAATTTGACTTTCTCTGATCCTCTTGAAACTCTGGATTATGATAGAGGGCCCTGAGAATTAGACCTGAGTGCAAAAATGGAGGCTCTAGACCCTTCCAGAGCTGAGATATCGAAACTCAAAATTTCGACCCGAAAAAAAAACGAAAGGGGTACCACTGTCGTTTTTTTTTCGGGTCAAAATTTTGACTTTCTCTGATCTTCTTGAAACTCTGGATTATGATAGAGGGCCCTGAGAATTAGACCTGAGTGCAAAAATGGAGGCTCTAGACCCTTCCAGAGCTGAGATATCGAAACTCAAAATTTCGACCCGAAAAAAAAAAACGAAAGGGGTACCACTGTCGTTTTTTTTTCGGGTCAAAATTTTGACTTTCTCTGATCTTCTTGAAACTCTGGATTATGATAGAGGGCCCTGAGAATTAGACCTGAGTGCAAAAATGGAGGCTCTAGACCCTTCCAGAGCTGAGATATCGAAACTCAAAATTTCGACCCGAAAAAAAAACGAAAGGGGTACCACTGTCGTTTTTTTTTTCAGGTCAAAATTTTGACTTTCTCTGATCTTCTTGAAACTCTGGATTATGATAGAGGGTCCTGAGAATTAGACCTGAGTGCAAAAATGGAGGCTCTAGACCCTTCCAGAGCTGAGATATCGAAACTCAAAATTTCGACCCGAAAAAAAACGAAAGGGGTACCACTGTCGTTTTTTTTTCGGGTCAAAATTTTGACTTTCTCTGATCTTCTTGAAACTCTGGATTATGATAGAGGGCCCTGAGAATTAGACCTGAGTGCAAAAATGGAGGCTCTAGACCCTTCCAGAGCTGAGATATCGAAACTCAAAATTTCGACCCGAAAAAAAAACGAAAGGGGTACCACTGTCGTTTTTTTTTTGGGGTCAAAATTTTGACTTTCTCTGATCTTCTTGAAACTCTGGATTATGATAGAGGGCCCTGAGAATTAGACCTGAGTGCAAAAATGGAGGCTCTAGACCCTTCCAGAGCTGAGATATCGAAACTCAAAATTTTGACCCGAAAAAAAAACGAAAGGGGTACCACTGTCGTTTTTTTTTGGGTCAAAATTTTGACTTTCTCTGATCTTCTTGAAACTCTGGATTATGATAGAGGGCCCTGAGAATTAGACCTGAGTGCAAAAATGGAGGCTCTAGACCCTTCCAGAGCTGAGATATCGAAACTCAAAATTTCGACCCGAAAAAAAAAACGAAAGGGGTACCACTGTCGTTTTTTTTTTGGGGTCAAAATTTTGACTTTCTCTGATCTTCTTGAAACTCTGGATTATGATAGAGGGC